TGGGAGACTTTAATGGCATTGTGAATCAAAATATGAACACACAAACACACACACCTCACAAACACCTTCCCTCTCCAAGACAGCCACATCTCTTCATTAACTTGCTATCCAGCTCCATTCTCTGCTCCACGTGCAGAACAAGAAAAGTAGTCTGTGTGACTATGGTAAAAAAAAATACCAGAAAATAACTTCCAACTTCTCGCAAAATAAAAAATCTTGCGAAGTTGGAAGTAGTCCCACAAAGTACTTTTCTTGTCATGCACATGGCAGTGGAGAATGGAGCAGGAAAGCAGGTTAGTGGAGGGGGGTAGGGTTAGGGATCTCTCTCTCTCTCTCTCTCTCTCTCTCTCTCTCGCACACACACACACAGATACATACACACACACATACATACACACACACCATCCTTTTCTTGGGAGCTCTGCACAGATGCAGAGAAGGCTTTGGATAGAGCATTTGGGGATGTGCGCCTGCACTGATACCAAGGAAAGAACGATTGCCAGGAAAAGGGGGGGGGATTTTGCCTCTTATCCTGTTCTGAGTCTGTGCGAGCTTCAGAACAGGGTAAGAGGAAGAAAAATCTCCCCTTCCCATTTTCAAGCGGTTTGCAAAAATACCCCACTCTGAGCCTTCAATGCTGCAATCTTGGAATACGCTGCAGGCTTGGAATGGGGCGTTTTTGCAAACCACTTGAAAACAGGGAGGGGGGATTTTGTCTCTTATCCTCTTCTCAGTCTGTGCTGACCTTCAGAACAGGGTGAGAGGCAGGAATATCCTCCTCCACATTTTCAAGCAAAACCCCCCATTTTGAGCCTTCAATGTGAATATGCAGGTGAGAAGTGACCTCCTGTAGGCATGGAAATCACTTGGGACATCAAAAAAAGCCCTGTGAGGAGACGCCACTGCTGAAGTGTAGGAAATCTCCCCCCACCACCTGCAGATCGTTCTTTCAAAGAGGAGTTTAACCTGGACGAAGAGGTGGCTGAAGGCGGCGTTTGTGTTTGTGTCTCCTTCATCCTGGTGAAACTCCGCTTTGAAAGGGCGATCTGCAGGTGGTGGGGGTGGGTGGAAGATTTTCTGCACAGCAGCAGCAGCGTCTCCTTGCAGGGCTTTTCCAATGTCCCACGTGTATTGATTTCCATGCCTTCCTTTCCTGTTCCATGGATGGTACTGCCTGCTGTGACTGTCACCATTAGGTAAGGAGTCATGAGGCATGTGGGTTGTGTTGCTTGGCCTCCAGCTTCTTTTGCAGCCGCAATTGGGTGCAAAAGTGATTGGCACTTGCTGGAGGCAGAGGCCTGAGCAGCACCCACGAATCAGCTGTTTTGTGAATGGAGCGCCTCAGCTGATCCGATTAAGGGGCTGAGAAGCCCTGAGGTGACTGGGGAAGGGAAGGGCTGCCTCCTGTTCTGGCTAAACCCACCCCTTCACTAGGGCTTATTTTCGGGGGAGGGCTTATATTTTTGCCCACCCCAAAAATCTGGCATGGCCTTATTTTCAGGACATGTCTTATTTTCAGGGAAACAGGATAGATTTTAAAAGAAAAAAAAGTTTCAGTTCACATTGAATGCAACCTCAGAAAAGCCATAGTATGATACTTTTTAAGTTATGGCTTATTTTACATTGCCAATAGTATACAAATTTCCTGTTTACTAATTAACAGAAAAGTGAACTCAAAAGGATTCTCCATCTGGTAAAGTATGCATTTCATCATTGCCACAACTTGCTCCAGTAAATTTCCATCTAATTGAAATTAGCAGGATTGAAGTAATACAATACTAACATACATTCCTATCAAACAAAAACAAAATTGTTCAAGTCCCATCAAATTCACTAATTATTTCCAAGAAAATAGGAATAAGACTATAGCCAAAATTAGATTGCCTCCAAAATTAATATTTGCAAATTTTGTATTAAAATGTCTGCTGACAGAATTATAACCCTTGTTTTCCTTCCCCATCCTATGGAAAGGTTTGCTCCTGAATCACCTGGCATGCTGCTTAAATTATTTACCAAATTAATCATAACTTGCTGGTTTCACACGACATACTAAGCCTTACATTTTATCTAGGTTCACAAACTTTGCAAAACCAAAAAGAACTAAAATATATTTGGGCTCAAAGTTACATGATTATTATTAAAGTTAACAAACTGCTTTAAGTTAAATATGGTATGCAAGTTTGCAGATCGGCAGAATGTATAAGCCCACCACATGTATATTAAACACAGAAGAAAATATTTAATTGCAGAAACAGCCACAGTAATTAAAAAACAGAGTAACAAAATTTTGGATCAAGTTTCTGACATTATTAATACACAATGAAAGCAGGATATTATGCCAATTTTCCTAGGCTTCACTGATCATGTGCGGTTAAATATAAGAAGCAAATACTATGTGAATGATTTTGCGCTATTGGGGACTCATTAGATGTAGGTTGCCTGATGTTATTCTATAGAGTTCAAACCTTCTCCTGGGCTATATACAATCTAGTAGTTTTAGGAGATATCCAGATCCTACCACTCAGTAGTTGCAGGTTCATTGTATGCAAGTATTGTAAAACTGACAAACAAAATAGGAAATACTGCACAACTGCTTTTCGTTTCAAAGTTGTCACAATTTCTCTTTCCTTATGAAGAAAATATATTCCCAATGTACTTCCAGATAATATTGAAAAAATAGGAAGACAATGCCTCTGGTTGGCAAGGTGGCGTAATATCTAGTGTCTTTCTCCTTTTCTCCAAAAGTAGGAAATAAATCAATTACAGATAATTATAGTTTTTTACTACAACAATAGTTAACCTGAACAACTGTGCAGCTCTGTTTGCAATTAGCCATTAGAGACAAGAAATCTAGAAGGTCACAAACCTTGCTCAAGGCCTAAACAAAGAGGCTTATGCAGTGGATTCTGTTTTTCTGATTAACAGTGGTATGAAGCTACTCTGCACATCTCTCAATACCAAAGCCTTTGTTTCTAAACGGATTGGCGTCAATCCTTCTATCAGGCTCATAAAACGTCAAATTTAGTATTCTGATTTTGAAGACAACTCTCTTAAGGAAACTGTACATCAGAGATGCTTTTGCTGGAATCAGGACACGTGTTTTTGTTTAAAAGGTACTTCTTTGCCCTTTAAAGATTACATAGGTGTAAAGAGCAGAGGGGGAAAAATCCATAAAAACATTTTAAACAATTCTCAAGAAAAAAAATGCCACATCTGAAAATAAACCAAAACTGATGGGTTTATTTCAGCTCAGAGTTGTCTTTCCCTGACGGTTTATCTATGCAAGAAAAATGAATCAATTTATATTTCAGAAAGCTAGAGGGTTTTAAAAAAATCAGTAGTAAATACAATTTGTGATCATCAAGGAGAGCAATTTTGAACTAATTACATCATAAGCACTTTTTTTTCAGATCAATAAATTTGATATGTAAATTAGATATGGAGCAAATTATAAAATGCCCTCACTGAGGAATAAACAATACAGAGTTGAATGGCTGGACGAGTTGTTCTATTTTGCTAAGGTCTTAACATCTTATTTTACTTCATTTATTGCTTTGTACTCTTTTATTGGCTTTATTTACTGACTACACTTTTAAGTCATTATATTTAGTATATGCCTTCAGTTAATGTGTATATTATTAATATATTAATCTAAAATGTCAAGCACCAGAAAATCAAGTCTCACTGGCAAAAATGTTATCTAGATAGGCCAATCATTTATTATAGCCATCAAGTCAGAAACGTTAACTGCTATATGAAGTGATTCACTGAAGCACTCATCAGCTCTTAATGTTTTTTCTACTGCATTTTTAATTTGAATTAGCTATAACCTTATAAATTATGATGTTTATATATTTTTAAATAGCCAAAAAGATAAGTAGTGAAATATCCTGAGAGTAATATGAAGTTATTTAATTACATTGAATGTAGTAAACTTTAAAACACATTCTAAATTATTTAGATCCTATACTTGTCTACTTTTGGTGTGTACCCCCAATATATACTAGGCCAGGACCAACCTTCAAAACATTATGAGCTCTGCTATGAAGTGTGCAATGAACCTTTTAGCTTTGCTTCCTTCCATCAGTTTGTTTGATTCTATCCATTTACAGCAAACTTGCATGCATTGCAGTGAACTAAGTACAACTGGCTTTTTCACAGCTGGGACATGAAATGGAATGAGCTCAGCCCTACTTACAAGATCTTCAGAAGCTCTTGCTTGCGCTCGTCGGAATAGTTCTAGGTCATACTCACTGGTCAGATTCTCTAAAAGGGGCTCTCTCGTGTTGCCATAGATTTGTCTATGCTCCTGAAGCAACAACAGAAGAAATATCTCATAAACACAAAGAAAAAATGTCTCCTGCATTTGGGGAAGCAACTCCTGATAGCCACCTCCTATTTGTTTAGGGTGGGCATAGATGGATAAACAGTTGAAGAAAAAGTCTAAAAATTCCTTTCAGTGGTATCACTATATTCCGTTACTTTTAGAGAACTGAAAGACTTTTATGAAAGATCTCAATGTTGAAAAATATAAATTAATTCAAATGTGCTTAAAATAAAATTCAACTGCTTGGATAATGGAAAAAAAACAAGGAATATTGACACATGTGGTTAGTTGAAAAAAAGACTTTCAACCCTACTCACTCCTTTTCCTGTTCTCTAGAAAGACGTGCTATAATTGCAATGCTAGAATTCACACATGGATTCCAAACAATAGGATTAACACAACTCAATGTTCCATAGATCCATTTCCATTGTTATCTATCTCATAACTTGTTTCAAACAAAATAATAATTCTTTGCGAATCCATGGCATGAAAGCTATTGATTCAGGTGCCTTATGTTTTAACTCTAATTTTCCTGTCTTAATATACACTGCTTAAGCACAGTAAAAACACATTTGGAAGACCAAACTAAAAAGGATGTCTTAACACATGGCTTATTTTCTAAGGAAAATAAATGAGGTTTTTATACCATGTATTTTTCCTTTTGCTCCTTAGTTAAGCTTGCATTCCTCTTCTTTCTCATCTCTGCAACTTTCTCCTTATATCTCAATTGTCTTTCAGTTGGTGCCTTGTAGGGAGTAGGAAATAAAATATTTGATTGGGAGACAGACAGACAGACAGATGAGTATCTGGCTTTGGCAATATTCCATGGGTTCTCCAGTATTTCATGAATTTGCTTTATGCATCCCTCCCTCTGTTTAGAATCATCTTTAGCTTTTTATAATGCACGACTGCATCAAATTATGAGCTGATTATTCATATGAGCATAGTTGTTATATGTGCAATGTGACAATTCTTCAAAAAAAAGTGAATAATTTGAATAAATCCCTAGTGGGGTTCTTTAAGCCAGGACAGACTTGAATTATATATATAAAATTAGTAGAAATTACCTGATGCCTGGTAGCATGTCTATTGTTGTCATCCTGTCGATGAGAAAGCATCCGGTCTTCCACTTGTTTGTCTCGACTTTGAGCTCTCACCTTGAAATCCAGAAAAATGTTATATATAAATCTCCTTCATACATCATGTAATTTAAAGGAATATGAATCTGCCACAGTATGGATTTTGAATCTAGAAACTGCTGGAACTGTTTTCATGGGACCACCAAACCTCAAGTGATGGTTAAAATAAGCCATATCTTGGTACAATGTATAAAACAGACTATCTTCCAGAAGTTGAAATTTGCAAAGATGTGTTAAAGCATATGAATCTGTCCTGTTACAATTATGACTTTCCACCTGTTTTTCTTCATTACATACATCCTGAGAATAAGTTACCTTGCATTCATCCGCTGAAAGATTATGATACAGAGGGCATCCAGATATAGAAAAATGTCGCTCATGTTTTCCTGTCAGATGTCCTGTTGAAAGCCAAAGAAGTATAGTTTACGGCTTATTAATAAGAATATATAGGAAGCTTGAACAACGGAATATCCTAATAATTAAAATTCAGATCAGAAATCATTCCACTGTACCTAATGAATTGCAGCCAGGGGTGGGACATTTCATGTTAAAATTATAGCTTTCGTGGAAACGTCGTCTTTTGGGACGATGGGATAAATCACTCCCTGAATCTTTCATGGACATATCCTTGGCAATACTTTCATCATGTGACATATTGGGACTAGAGATATCAATATCAGACTCTGAAGAAGGAGCATTCCCAGTTGGAGTGCGGGGTGGGGACTCATCATGGTCAGCTGCATTTTTTGTGTCTGTTGAGAAGGGAGAAAATTAGGACAGTGTACAAAGACGTTGCCAAATTAGAAAATATACAAAGAATAAATGCTTCCTGGGTAATTTCTGTGTCAGCACTACACAAAAGACGGAACATAGTGTCAGAAAAATATTGTTTCTTCCATAGCCGGTGACTGAGAATAATCTGGGGATAACCAAGAAAATTAGTCAACCAAAACTGCGGTAATCAAAAGTAATAGACACACACACATTGAGGGTGGGGTTATAGTCTCTATCCCTTTCACACATAATGTGAGATCAAGTAATAGCCAGGATGTTAAAACCATCTTAGCAAAGATATTACTTTTTAATCTAGTACTATGGAAAAATTCTACAAAGGAAGTTGAGCAAATACTAGTTTAAGAATCAATTCTCCATCTTCCCATATAACATTTATTAGGTGCGTCCTCAACAACCATTCACATGTACAAACCTCTGTCAGAAAAATCAACCACTTGCTCTGTTTCGGAACCAGATGAACGTGTTTGTCGCAGAGGATATTTCTTTGGAGTTACAGGAGTAGGTTGCTGCTGACTGCGGGTTATTCTTCGAGTAGAATAAACAGGCTCTTCTACTGCAAATGATGGTGGATTGCGAACTGGACTGGAATCTATGAAGGATCAAAAGGCATTGTTAAAGAAGAAAGTAGCATCTCATTTTAAGAAACATCATTGCAGAGCCCACATTACGTGTCAACCGTATTCCTTGTGGTTCTTACTCTAGTAGTCCAAAATGGTTGTTCTTTTAGGAACTATAAAATGGACAAGTTTTACACAATTTTTCTTGCATTACTGCATATGTAAATTAAATTTAAAGGAAAGTGTAAATCACAAACAGTTCATAATGTAAATCTTCAGTTCATAATAGTATTGGAATACAAGAGCCTGGACTACAGAGTATAAATAGAATACAGTTCCTTATTGTGCTATATTAGTTTGCCTAAATGCTTCTTTACCTAAATCTATATCTGTTCCAAAATATATTTATGTGCATGGTTTTGATGACCTAGATTTTCATTTCCTAAAATGTTGATAACCAATATTAGGTTTAAATAAAGAATCAAAAATGGTGCAAAGATGGTATGATACAGAGGATGTTCTGTTATATACTTACTTTCTTTTTCTCCCCAAGGAACAGAGTTTGAAACAATTCATATATGCATTGCCAAAGGATGAGTGGCATATGATACATCATATTCATTGGCATATGATACAATTCCTCCCATTTAGACAAAGCTTAGGAGAAAACATCTAATCATTGCAAGCATCCTTTCTCCCAAAGTAGAACTTTAAGACCCAAAATGAAGAATTTAAAAAGATCTAGATATACCTTGTGAACTCTGGCTGAGCCTAGCAGAAGATCGTGTCACACGGGCAGACTGGCGTGATGTACCATCGCTTTCTGAACTGTCTGTATGTTCTGGGTCTGTAGAGAAATCTGAGTCTTCTGTTCCATCTGAACTGCTTCCTGCATTTCTCTGAAAATCCAACATTTAGTTTTTAATTGGGAACCACCCATATTTGGTTGAAACATGAATAGCTATATACATTTTTAAATAAATAAATAAACAGCACATAAGACTTTCATCTGCATTAAAATAATACTTTAATGCAGATATGTTCCTCAATTTTTTTTGGGGGGGGGGATTATTCTGTGAGTCAGCTTTTGACTCCTATGATTGCCTGGATCAATTCCTGCAGTATTCTTGGCATATTTTTTAGAAATGGTTTGCCACTGACTCCTTCCCAGGGAGAGAGAGACTGGTTGAAGATCACTCAGTTGATGTGCGTAAAGTGATAAAGTAAATATTTAATAAAATATTAAACCAAATGGGGCCTTCTTCAAAAATTAATATGCAGTGTTAAATTTAAATGTAAAATATTGCTCCTGTTCCTAAGAGACATTTAGTTCTGACTAAACCTTCAGTGAATTTCAGAATTCCCTCTTCATCCTCTTATAGTAAACCATCCATTTAACTATGAAAGACTATAATGATATATCACAAAGGAAGTCCTAAGTCAATTTGTCATAGTTCCTCCTAATTTAGACTGGCAGGTAATACAAGCCATCTTATTAAGGGAAACACCAATGTACTCTAAGTAGCCCATGATTAAAATAAATAAATAATCGCCCATATTCTTATAATGAAATCACAGTAAAACATGAAATTAATGGAAAAGGGGTAACTATCAAAAGTAGTGGCCCGAAATATTTATTTATTTCCCTATTTGTATGATTTTTTTTGTCCTGCCTTGATTACTTTATAAGTGACTTAGGGCCATGAACATACCTAAAACGTTTTCCTCCTCTTTTCTATTTTCTCCACAATAACTTTAATTTTAAGCTCTATGAGACAAGTCCTAGTACCTTATAATGTACTAAAAATAAATTAAATGAAAATAAAGCAAATCAAGGTTCGATGTAATCACCAATCACAAACACCCAAGTCAGAATTCCCATCCTGACCCCAATGTCTGGAGGAAAAGACCTATTTTCACAGCCTTTCCAAAGGCTAAGAGGTCATCTGAATCTTGTGGTAATATAGGTATATGTGAAGCTAATCCACTTGACACCACTTGGCACCATGACAGAAAAGGCATGCTTCCTGAGATTCATCAGGAAGATATTCTGAAAGTACCAGGTATATGCCCATTCTGTCAGATCTGGTAGGGTACACAGAACCACTGGAGACAGACCCACAAATAACGCAATCCATGCCATCAAGAGCTTTAGATATCTACTAGCACTCTGAATTGTTTGGGAGACAATGGATTACACATAGCAGGAATGCTATATGGTGTATCTTGTGTCCCAAACTGCATGTGCTGCTACATTCTAAACAAGCTGTAGCATACCCCAATGCACTTCAAAGGGAGCCCCATTTAGAGTACATTGTTATAATCAACTTTTCCAAAAGCCCAGGCCTAATTCTTTTCTTTTGCAGTAATACAAAACATTCCCTGCTATAAATAAGCATTTTAATAACCAAGGCAGTTATGCAACAGCACACTTTCCTGTATTCACAAACTTAGTGTAATCATAGTACACTAAGCAAAAAAACAACAACTATGTCATATATCACACTATGTCATACTTCATGGTTTACAACCCAGTGACTGAGTTCCTACAATAAATAAAGAAAAAAAACATTTATTAAGTTCAGTGCACTGTGTTAACAATCAGGTACCATCAATATGTGCATACAGTGTATTCATTCTAATACCTGACCATAATGACGGGAAAACATGCTGAATATTTGTACCTACTGCTGAGTTTTGAAAGGATCACAATATATCAGAGGGAAGAAAGGGTTACACTGATGCATCTATGGGCAGGTGTAATAGGTAATCTTATGGCCCCTGTTTTTTTTAACTTCCATAATACTTCTCCATCAGCCTTTTGAATGATTTTTGTAAGGAATTATCATCTCCCAAATCTAGTTTTGACATAATTACCATACACACAATTCAAGTAAGCTACAGAGAATACATTACTTTTCACTCATTTGATATTACATCGTCACTATAAAGGTAGAAGATTCTAGTATATATCTAAAATCTCTATAACTATGAATTATATCTTCACAGACCTGCCACGGCTAGCTATATTTTTACAAAAAAATTAAGTCACAATAAATTTGCTAGCCTTAAATTACGGTATCATAACGTTCGTTCTTGTAGGAATAACTGCCAAAATAAGCCCCTATTTAATTTGCCTGCTCTTCAGTAGAAAAGAATAGAAATAGACTTGTTACAAAAACCTTGTTTTAAAACTCATTAAAAATGTTTGGCATGTTAAAAATGCTGTTCTATTATAAATAGATTTAACTTACAGGCAGACTCATCTGAGTTCTAGCAAATACAGAAATATAATTGTAATGATTCAAAAAACAGCCCATTGCCCATTTAATCCCGTCTACCATACTTGGATTCATTTCTACCATATTCCCTCGCCTGCAATCGTTACCAGTGTGAGGGTTGGACTTTTGTATCACTCTTTCCCAATGAGAAACTGAGAAACAGTAGAGGGGTGGGATTTCAGGGACGCGGATTCAGAATCCCAGCCAATGAATGCCGCCCTCCACATCCACTCCTAAAGCACCCAGCCAAGAATGGATACAGAAGAACCGGAGGAGGCGGGGGGGAAAGAGGAAAAACGCGCCAGTAGAAAATGATAATGTGATCAACCAATGATGGTTCAGACGCGAGCCAATTAGGAATGAAAGGAGGTGGGCTACAATAGTCATCGAACGGGTGGAGGGAAACAAATAACCGTTGAAGAGGTTGCGCTTGACTGATGGCGAAGGTGGCCATTGAAGATGCGGCGAGAGGCAGGACTAGCCAATCGTATCGCGAGATGAAACGGGCTTGAAGGCCTACGTTTTTAACTGGTTTTCGAGCCCAACGGTCTTAAGCAGATTAAAAAGGAAAAGGAGGAAAAGGAGGTCGGTTCGATCTACACTTGCTCACCTTTCTGCGCGACATCCTTAATGGAGGCGGCGGCGGCGGCGGCAGCGAAGGTGGCTGCGCCCCTGCCGCCGCGCTGGCTACGGATGAATCCGTGGTGACTGGCGTGTCTCCGGTTCTCCAGCGCTAAACGCGCCGTCTTATTTTCCCTTTGCTGTAAGATGTTGCCGTTCAGACGACTCCCTTCACTCTTCCGCCGGGACCCACGACGGGGATACACACACCCCCGTCTTGCCTGTCACGTGACGCAGGGAACTCTCACCTCACGCCAATGGCCTTCCGCCATCTTAGAATCGGGTCGAGCGCCTCGAGTCAGTAAAGTGTAATGGCCATTTTCACTGTGGGCTACAGCCCTATCTCCGAATAGAGAAGATGGCCATTTTTTGTTTGGGCAACTGATCGTCCGCAATTGGAATCGCTGATGCAGTGTGGCTACTGCCGTAAAGTGTTTCTCATTGACGTCTTGATCCACCATCTTTGTTTTGGAACTTGGCGGGCTTTTGTAATCAAAGAGGCGTTCTGTAAGTGAGCGAAAGAGAGAGAGAGAGAGAGAATCGCAATGTACCGGCTTATACCGAAAGACTACGTTATTTTCTTAATTAATAGGAAAAATCGTTCCGTTACAGAAAAATCAAATCATTTATGAACCTAAGTTACCTTTTCACAGTATTGCAAGTCAAATCAATTAAGAACAACCTATTTCTGATTAGAAAGATAGCCTTGACTAGCTGAATAACATTAGGGGTTGTTTTTTTAAAAAAGATAAATATTTAAACAATTGCCAGTGGCGTTGGCTTCTCTGAAAGAGCATTGTTTTTAGCTTGCTTTTAAGAAATCCATCATTTATTATGGTAGGTTCTGGAGTATATCTGAATAAAAGCAATGGATAAAAGTAACCCACTCCCCGAAGTTTTTTGTTGTTTTGAAGGTTAATAAATGTATGGCATCTTCCAAGTATCATCTAACAATATCATCTGTACATTTGGTACTTATTAAGAAGCCAATTTAACAAAAATCTTGCTATGTTCAGTGATATTTATTCCCAGATAAGAAATCACCCAATGTATACAGACTAAAGAAGACTCAGCTATACTTTTAGTATATATTTTTAATTAACACTCATGGAAGCTAACCCTAAATGAATTTGGGACTTGCACTTATTCATAGCAACACTATTAACTATAGCAGAGTGCTTTTCCATTTACATAATCAGAAAAATACTTCTTAAAATCAGGTTGCAGCTCTGCCTTTAGATCTGTAGCCTCACATTGATTAAACCTATTGGATCTTACAAGATCTTTCAAGTGTTTTATTTTGCATTCCTAGTACTTCAGATACTCCTGCATCATTTCTACTGAGCTAAACACTAAAAAAACCTATTTGCTAAATTGTATCGTATTATTTTAGGCTCAAAGAATCCAGATAATCTAACTTTAAAGATCTGAAAAATATGCATTGGGTTATGCTGATAAACGCCATTTATGCCACTTGTGTACATTGCATGTAATTCAAAATGTTACTTATTTAGAAACAGAGCTAAACATATCTTTTCTTGAACCCACAAGTATTTGTCAGATTTAAAAAAGATATATCTCAAAAAAGATAATCAGAATGATAAAAATGACAATCTTGGATTGTTAAAAATAATATATTATTTTTTTAAGAAATCCATTGCCATGGTAGCTTTTATTTTTATTAAGCATAATGTAAGCCTTTGACAATTTCTTACAACATGGGGCATTCCCTCCAACACCTACAGTGAAACATCTCATGTCAACATCTACAGTGAAGAATTCAACTAAAGATGTTTCATAAATCCAATGTATATGCTCTTATTGTAAACACACATTTCAGAATGGACAGCAACCCAAGAACATGTAAACATAATCTTGAAATGTAGTATGTTTTACTTGCACATCAAATTTAAAAATCTTGTGACAATATTGGTGTTGGTTCATCTAATTTAATAGAAGACTTTAATTTTAAAATAAGGTTATCACTATTGTGTGATAACTGAGTACTTTGAGACTGTCACTATCCCTGGAATGCTTCAAATCAATGGAGAAATCCTAAAGAAGGTGGACATTTTTCAGTATCAGGGATCCAACCTCCCAGGCATTGATGGCATCAATGGTGAGGTGCAAGCAAGGGTGAATGCAGCCTGGATGTGTTGGCAAGAACTCACTGGTGTGTTATGTGACAGATGAATGTCAACCCATCTTAACTCTAAGAATTATAAGACAACCATCCGCCCAGTTGCACTGTATGGCACTGAATGCTATGCAACAAAAACGGGGACCGAAAACTATCTCCATGCCATGGAAATGTGAGTGCTCCATTAGATATCAGGCATCTCCCTTCTTGACCATCACAAATGACACTATTTGACAACCTTTTGATGTGGAACCAATTCTGGAGAAAATGAGAGAAGGCCAACTCCGCTGGTATGGACATGTCCTGAGAACAGCACCTTCCACTCTTGCCAAGACTGTCTACTAACTAGAAATTAATGGCTGGCAACCTAGTGGCTGCCCAAAACAGATGGCAAGACACCATCAACAAAGATATGCAAGCCACGGGCCTGCGCACTGGAGACACAGCTGACCTTGCAAAGTGGCGCTCAGTGATCTGAAAAGCAGACCCTGCACTTGCAGGAATACGTGAAGAAGAAGAAGTAGAAGTGACTCACAGGTAAAATGCCTCACATAAATGTCTCAGCAACACAAATTCAGGGCTCAAATGCTATCGTAAGTTGACTACCTAAATACCACTATTCAAAATATAACTGACTAAGATTCAGCACCATTATATGGATTCAAAGATTGCTGAACCTAACTGAAATGGATCTTGGATGATTTTTGTAGTCTCCGAATAGAATGGAATGGAATGAAATAGAAATAGAATAACAGAGTTGGATGGGACCTTGGAGGTCTTCTAGTCCAACCCTCTGCTTAGGCAGGAAACCCTATGCCCTTTCAGACAAATGATTATCCAGTCTCTTCTTAAACACTTTCAGTTGGAGCATTCACAACTTCTGGAGGTAAGTTCCACTGATTAATTGTTCTAACTGCCAGAAAATATACTAAATTGACTTTTACTTTTCTACTGACTTCCTATAATAGCTTATGCAAAGCACTTTGTTTCAATAGAATAGAATAGAATTTTTTATTGGCCAAGTGTGATTGGGTACACAAGGAATTTGTCTTTGGTGCATATGCTCTCAGTATCTAATTATATAAAATACTGTAACAACATTTGAATTTCCCATAGCACCCTTCCTTCTCCTGTGTGCTGCTTGGGGAATCCAAGCATGGGTTAACTTTGTCCATTAGCCTAGAGACTGAGTTATGTAAATTGGTGACCACGCCTCCACTGACCGGATGGGCTCAGTTTTTTAACTCAGTCCAGCCAGAAGAGACGTATACCAATTCTTCTCCAGACTTCTGAGACAAATTTATACCCTTTTTCTGGATTTCCCTGCAAGCACGATGGACCTAGTTGGGGGTTTAAAGATTTGCGGTGGGGAGGCAGCAGTTCGCTGCCTGCCAGTTCCCTCTGTGATCCCTTTTGTCGCTCAGGTATTTATCTGGCATTTGGAGCCGTTTGGGTCTTAAGTTTACCCACAGGTGATTGGAGCCTTTGCAGGCGGCTGGGCGGCAAGCGCTTTGTATTCTGCCGATATGGGGGATTTTCTTTTCGCAGCGCGGAGCTTCGGCTGGCGCTAACGATTGGATTTAAGAGCCCCCGCCGCGTTAAGAGCCTTGGAGCCTTTGAATTGCCCGCCGTTCGCGGTGCGGCTTTTTCTCTCTTGCCGCTGGGAGTTACCCGCCGTTCGCGGCGAGGTTTGCCTTTTGCGGACTGCCGATCGCATTGGAGAAGCACGCCAGCGATTCCAGCATTATTTCCTCTCTGAGAAGCTCGGGAGGCTGTGCTTTGTGGCTTACAATTTAAATTTGGCACTCGTTTGTTAGGTGCCATGCTGGGGCCGTTTCTTGCGCAAGCGCTGCTGGGATCGGGCGTTGCCTCCTCTCGCAGTTGCTGATTCATCGGCCCTCCCACTTCCCTCACTTCGGCTTTGTGTGCCTTTGGGAGGAGTTGTTTTCCTGCTGCCTTTGCTGGCCACGCGGTCCCTTTGCCTTACAGTGAACTCTGTGCTTTGTGCCTTTTGAGTCTTTTCGAATCTCAATTCATTGCAATGGCTGATCATTCTGCTGTGGGAGGTACAGTTGAATCTTCTTCTGATAATCAGGGTGCTGCCCAAGCGGGGGTTAGTTCAGGGCCTGGCAGAGCCACCTCTAGGGCCACCAGTCAGAGGCCCAGGGAGACCTCCGGGGCTCCGGATAAGGGCCACAAGAAGAAGGATAAATCTAAAGCATCATCTAAAGCCTCTGGAGAGGGTAGAGTTCCCCCCCCCCCACGCTCTTACCTCAGCGCATTTCACCAGCTCCACAGTCTGCAGGCCTCCAGACCTGGTCTCCTGACCGTTCCTTGCCTGTTATCCCTGAAACTGGGGGGGGGGGGGTTGGGGATCCAACTCCCCACAGTAATGCCCGAGGCCCAGGCTATTCCGATATACTCTATGCCACGTGCTGGGCCTTCTGCCACATTTACTCCCACTGCTGCAGGCCTACGGCTTATGGAAGGCTATGACCAGGGCCTACCCCCAGACCTTTACCAAATGATATCTGCAGCTATATCCAGGGGGGTGGATGCTAAGCTGCTTCGGAGGAATCAGGCCCCGGTGGTGGCTAGCACCCAGGGTGGGCCATCTCTCCCAGCCCCACAAGTGGATCTGCCTGATCTGCAGGCAGGGCCTGTTTCCCCCCTTCCCTCTATTTATAGTGAGGATTCGGCCCTGGTGGAGGAAGGGGAGTTGATTGATAGGGAGCTCTCTGATGATGAGGGCCTGGTCTTTGATCAGCCTAATTCCTCTAGTCTGTTTCGGCCTACGCTGTTCAAGTCCTTATTGTTTAAAGCTAAGGCCACTACCCATATGGGAGAGGTAGCTCCCAAGGATAGTTCTGCTGTAGGCCTGGACAGCACTGAACGCCTCTTTGCTAAACCAGTTTCATTGCAGGAGGTGATTCCTTCTCCAAAGCTTTTCATGGATCTCATTCAAAAACAATGGGACCAGCCAACTGCAGTTACCCATCTAACAACGGGGACAGGAAGTTGTCCACTTCTACCCCTGATTTGGAGACCCTTTTGCAATTTCCAACTGTGGATCAGCC